GGTCGGTGAAGCCTCGGGCCGCGAGACACGCGGCTGGAGGTTCAGCTGGTGTGCGGCGTAGCGAACCGCGTGAGGCCACAGAAAATGGGGCGCACGGGCATGGATCATGGACGTGCGGGCGATGTCCATGACCAAGCCTATGCGGCGCTCAGCAACCCCATTCTGCTGTGGGGACTCCGGCAGCGTCCAGGACTGGGTGATGCCCTGTTCACCGCAGAATCCGCCGAGAATGCCGGAGCGAAACTCGCCCCCACGGTCGGAGTGGAGACAACTGACTTGACGACCACGAGTGCCCTCAGTGGCTAGAAGCCACCTGATCAGCGTAGCAGTCACCTCGGACTTCTTCGCAAGAGGGAACACTGTGGTGTACCTGGAGAAGTCGTCGACGACCACCAGAAAGTAACGCTCCCTTCCAGACCCCTGCGTCGGGGCAGGGCCCCAGACGTCCAAGTGGAGAGTCTCGAAGGGAGCGGTGGCCGGACGAAGGGAGGAGGAGTGGGGAGTGGCGCGTAAGCGACCGGCGACGCACGGAGAGCAAGGAGGGGCAGGCGAGAGAGGGAGCGACGGGAAGGTGCGTGGGAGACCTGAGACAAGTCCCTGACTGAGCATGCTACGTAGGCGAGGGAGCGACGGGTGGCCAAGGCGGTGGTGCCACAGGACGGTGCGGTGGGTGAGAGAGCGACAGGAGCACGACGCAGCGACGGGACTGGACACAGCGACCGGACCGGACACTACTGCCTGACTAGACACAGCAACCGGACTGGGGACCTGGGCCGAAGGGGACGCAACGACCTGAGGGGAGGACGCGACCGGGGAGCGCTCGGTGTGGAGGACGTAGAGACCGGAGCGGGGCTCCCGGGTGAACGTGGCCAGAACAGCACTTGTGGTAGCGCCTGTACAGACTGCAGTCCGCCCACCCCCCACGAAGGTAACCGTGATCCCCCTGTCCTGGAGGTATCCAACACCCACCAAGTTCCGAGTGAACGAGGGGATGTGGAGGCCGCGCAGAACACCAGAGAGGACCACAGGGCAGGGGAGGGTGGTGGAGCTGCGCGCAACGGCTGGTCCAGAGGTGGGATCAGCCAGAGCCACCAACACAGGGGTGAGGAGTGGTGTAAGGGTCGTGTGGTCGCGGAAGAAGCACTGAGACGCGCCCGAGTCCAGCGTGAACGACAGAGAGGCCTTAGCCGGAGGGTCACGTGACTCAGTCGCTACACAAGCACCTAGAGCAGCAACACAAGCACCTAAGCTAGACAGGCACAAGGCTACACTAGCGGGAGGCAAGCAGGCTAACCTACGAACACGCGAGCACACAGATCCATCAGCACTATAGTCAGCATCAACATACAAAGCATGCTGACGCGCATCGTCCATGGACAGATCAAAGACATCAATCTTACGGGCTAACAGACGAGACCTGTGAGGCGTGACCGCCAGAGGGCCCCAACGAGCCCGGTAGAGGTCGTCGAGGCGGCGGAAGCACCGCGCGGCAGAGTGGTCGTCGCGCCCACAGAGACAGGGGTTGCCCGGCCCGGTGACGCACCAGTGGGTGCAGGGGCCAGCGTCACGGCGAGGGGGGCGAGGGGCCCAGCTGGAAGAGCTGCTGCTGCGGACGGTGCTCCCAGGGCCTCCCGGACCCCACTGCGGCGGGGGACCCCAGTGCTGCTGCAGACCCCACTGCAGTGGGGGCCCCCACTGCTGGAACTGCTGCGGTGCCTGCTGCTGCTGCTGTCCCAGCTGCTGCTGCTGTCCCTACTGTGGCTGGTGCTGCTGTGGCGGCTGCTGCTGGGGGGCAACGCCCCCGCCGGTCGGGCCACCACCTTTGGGTGGGCCTGTCTGTCCTGCACCTCCTCCAAGGCCCCCTCCCCCTGGTGCACCACCGCCGCCGCCGCCGCCGCCTCCGCCACCACCGCCGCTCCCACCTCCACCGCCACCTCCACCGCCGCCTCCACCGCCCCCACCTCCCCCCTTCCCGCCCTTCTTGCCACTCTTGCCCCGTTTCTGCCAGTCTGCGGCAGAAACGGCAGCGGTGTCCTCAGAGACCGACACAGCAGCAGAAGCGCGGGTAGCGGTGAAAGTGGGAAGCTGAGGGGCGGCACACCCCGCAAAGAGACGGGGGGCCACCGCATCAGTGGCGGAGGCAACGGTGAGGAGACTGCTCTCGATGGTCCCTAGAGCAGTCGCTAGGAGGTCGATAGTGAGCTCAGTGGGGTGCTTCTGAAGAAGCGCGTCGCGGGCAGTGGCAAGGCGGTCAGGGAGGCGGGTGACTAACCAGTGAAGAGTGAGCCACATGGGGGGGGGAGCAACAAGAAGCTGTGCGTCGGTACAGGCAGCGCGGAAACCGGCGTCAAGCGAGCGGAGGTGAGTCACTAGGTCGGAAACAGTCGCAAACGAGCCTAGGTCGGGAAACACAAACGGCATGAGGAGGCGACTGAGGGAGGCAGAGGAGGGGGTGGAGTAGCGAGCAACAATAGCCTCCCAAACCCCCTGTGCAGTCTCCACCTGGTCAAAGTGGGCGGCCTCAGTCGGGGGGAGAAGCTCCGACAGAGTGAGAGCGGCGGCTGCGTCACGCAAGAGCCACACGTCTCTGGCCAGGACCCGACGGTCGTAGTCCGCCTGGGCCGTAGGGGTCGGCTCCGGGGCGGTCGGCAGGGCGGCGGGGGACGGGGGGGCCTGTAGGGCATCAGACGCGTGAGCCCACAGAGTGGCGCCGTCCTGCCGCTGGCTGGTGAGGAAGCGCGTGGTCTGGCGCTGCCAGGAGCTAAACTCTATTGGGCGTCCCTCCGCGTCGAAACGGAGGCGACGAGACTCCATGACTGATGCCATGCTAGAGGCGGCTGGAGCTCGGCAGAGGCTGAGCTAAGAACGAGGAGGAAACCTACGGAGCGCCAGGAGGGAGAACGGCGGAGTACTGCTGGAGCACGGAGGAAAACAGAGCTAGGAACGCTAGTCTAGTAAACGGCTGGAGGAGGCAGGTCTGACGAGCAGATCGAGGAGCCAAAGAGTCGTTCGAGGGGCTGGCGGAGCGAGGAGAGACCTAGCTAACAACGAACGTCAAGGCTACCCTAAACAGCTAAGCGGAGCGGCCTCCAGCCGCGACGGTGCGAAACACTGTGAGTATGAGTGACGCGAGTGACGAACCAACGGAGGTCGGGTGGTCCTAGGTGGTGTGCGCGCGAGATAAGGGGATGTGAGCGGTTGGAAGGGGCTGTGAGCGGCTGGAAGGGGCCGTGAGCGGTTGGAAGGGGCTGTGAGCGGTTGGAACGGGCTGTGAGCGGTTGGAACGGGCTGTGAGCGGTTGGAACGGGCTGTGAGCGGTTGGAAGGGGCTGTGAGCGGCTGGAAGGGGCTGTGAGCGGGTGGGAGGTGCTAGCTGGCGCCAACTGCTGGCGGCTAGGTTCCGGTGGCTAGCTGTTGCTGGCGGCTAGCTTCTGCCTAGCCGTGCTGCTGCTGCAGGAGCACGCGCTGCTGCCTAGCCGTGCTTCTGCTGCAATGCACGCGCTGCTGCCTAGCCGTGCTGCTGCAGCAATGCACGCGCTGCTGCCTAGCCGTGCTGCTGCAGCAATGCACGCGCTGCTGCCTAGTCGTGCTGCTGCAGCAATGCACGCGCTGCTGCTGCAATGTGCGTGCTGCAGTGGCGTGCGCGGCTGCCGCTGGCTAACGCGCGCGCTGCTGCGGGCTAAGGACGACTACGCGGGCCCGCGGGTGGGGGGGGGGGAGATTCCCCTCTGGAGCGCGACGAAACGAGGGGCCAGCGGGGCCCTTTAAGCGCGACGAAAAACGAGGCCCGCGGGGGCCCGTAAACGTGACGAAAACGAGGCCCGCGGGGGCCGTCCTACCCGCGACGAAATGGGGCCTAAGGGACGGGCGCCTCGGGACTGGCTAAGGGAGGGAGCAGAAGCGTGGGAGGGATTAAAACCTACTCTAATACCATCTTAAACTAGGCTAGGAGAGAAGTATCGAAAGTGTGTTTCGAGTGGTGAGAGGCAAGGGATACAAGTGTCGACCTAAAGTGTTGTACCCTTTAGAGGGCAACTCACTGTAGCCTAGACTAACAATATAAAGAATATATAACATTTGACACCCACCTCCTCGTGCTGGCTCTAGTGGTGTAGAGGGCATATCGGCCCCGCTTGACCTTTCGGTGCTTGAAGGGGCAGGCGAGCCGAAGCGTGGCCCAGCGACCATTGCTGTGCCTGTGGATTTCGGCCAGTTTGAGAGAGAATTTGCTGCCAAGGCTAGGATTGCGGAGAGTGGGAGGAAAGAGGGAGCAGCAGCAGCAGGAGTAGGAATGGCAGGAGGAGCAGGAGCAGGAGGAGCAGGAGTGGGGTTGACGGCGGTTCAGGGGGGTGAGAGGGGGGTGGGGAGCAAGGAGCAAGGAAAGGGGAAGGGAAGTGCAGGGAGTCAGGTGGAGGGAGGAAGGGGAGGAGGAGGCGTGGGACCTACCATGGCAGATCTGGAATGGGCGGCGTTGGGTGGAAACTAGCGCAGTTATTGAGGATGGTTGATTCTATGTACCGGTAGAATTCACAAATCACAAATCGCTGGTGTGGTGTGTAACCTGTGATTGGAAAATTTGGGAATTCATATGTGTCCTGGGATAAGGAATGTTCTCCGGTCCTTTGTTTACTAATGTAACTGAATGGCACTATAAAAAGGGGTCTGAAAAGTAGGCATAATACGATAGCTGTTCTTGGTGAAGGATGGAGACGCATTGTCGCATAAATAGTTCTGAGACAATTACCAGTGACATATGCATGAAATAGCAAGCTTTGTTGTCGCATACTGTGCTCAGGATAGCTTGAGTGTAAGAACGCTGGTGGGCGATGGATTACAGAAAGAGCCGGATGGTCTGGTCTGGGAGATACCGTAGGAGAGCCAGAGAACAGCGGCATTGGCAAAGGCATAGCTTCATTATCAACAGCCCACCAAATGCAAAGAAAGGCAAAAGCGATGTAGAAAACATCCAGCGTGTTCTTCCAACACTCTATTCCTTGCAGCCTATCTTGCCCCTTCATCTCCCGCCCTCCACACCACCTCTGATGCTCCCGCACGCCCCTGCGATAGCACGAACATATAGCAGCCCCCCTCACATCCGCCTCCTCGCCCCCCCTCCCCTCACACACACACACACACACACACACACAAACAAACACACACACACACACACACACAAACAAACACACACACACACACACACACACACACACACACACACACACACCACAGCAGCAGCAGAACTAGCTGCTGTCTGCTGCTGCTCCCTTCCCCTTGCTGCCACCCTCCCCGTTCCATTGCAAGCTTCGAATCTCCGACTTCTTAAATCTCCGGCTGCACACTAGGCTTGGTGACCAGCTTCGGCAAATGCTGCTTGGTAACCGGCTTCGGGAAAGGCCGCACACCAGGCTTGGTGAGCGGCTTCGAGCCAGGCAGCACACCAGGCCAGCCTGAGGTGACCGGCTTCCCGAAAGGCCGCACACCAGGCTTGGTGACCGGCTTGAGCACGGGCCTCACCCCCACGAGCGGCTTCGAGCCAGGCTTGGTGACTGGCTTGAGGACGGGCCTCACCCTGGGGAACCTGTCAGGGCGGAACACCTTCTCGACCAATTTGTGCGCGTTCCTCCCCGCCTTCCCGAGCGAGTTCTTCACGGCGCCGCTGAGATCATCCGACGACCACTTCAAGTCCGCCGCCACATCACGGAGCACCCGCGGGTCCTCGAAATCAACGGAGTCAACGGATTCAGTGGAGTCATCACTATCGCCCCCGAGAAGCGCGCGCGGCTGGGGGGCTGCGCCCGAGTTGCTGTCGGCGCCCGAGGTGCTGACAGCTCCCGCCCCCTTCTTTTGAGTCGACTCAAAGGTGCTGACGGGTGCCGCCTCCTGCTTCCCAACTGCCGGCACGCCACTCTCAGCGCCCTTGGGCTTCGCGGATGCCTTGTCAGCAATTTTCAGGTAGCCGGTTGTCTTCTTGGTCATTCGAGTATAATGCTTCCTCGTCGCTGCCCACTTGACGCACCTGCCTCTCCTACGCCGCACGCAGTGCTTCTTCTTCCCCTGCTTCCCCTTCTTGGGCCGCGCGGCGATGGACTTGCCATTGGGTGAAGCCACGGAGTCCACTGGCGCGCGCGCGTTCGTCGCCGCCTGCCCGTCGAGCGGCGATTTCTTCGCGCTGCCACTGGCGCCGTCCAACTCCGATGGCTGCTTCAAGTCCGCTGCCACATCCGCCAAAATTCGCGGATCCTCCGAGTTATCGGATTCAACCCAGTCAACGGAGTCAACTGCAGCCTCGCTTTTGGCCTCGAGGAGCGCGCGCGCGTCGTATGCTTCCTCGAGACCGGCGGGCTCGTTGATGTCGTAATAACCATCCGGAGGGAGCGCCGCGAAAGCAGCGAGGAAGTTCAGAGACGCCACAAGGACGAGGGCGAGCAGAAACTTGCGAGGGCGAGACGTGCCCATGATGTTGGCTGTTGCTATCAGTTTAGCTGGAGAGGAAGCTCTGAGAAAGGCTGTACTGAATTGGTTTTACTGCTGAATCTGGTAGAAGAAGGTCTGTTGAATGAGTTGTTTCCAACTCCCTCCGCGTTATATGCGGCTACTAAGCATGAGTGCCGATTGCAGACTTCGCTGTAATGTTGCGGCTCGGCATCAGATGAGGAGGCTCGCCCCCATGAGGCTTCTCGTAGCGCCTGGGTCGATTTGGGCCTCATAGCGTTGGATGCGGCGGTGATTACTGGGGAACTTAGGCCACCCAAGTCTGCTAGCGCTCTGGTCGTAGTGACGGCACATCGAAATTATGAAACAGAGAATCGGGTAAGGAAAGTATTTTAGCGGCCAGGAGTGGTGGAGAGGTTTTCTTTTGGGATCGATGTAAGCTGGGAGGTGGCTCGCTGCGCGATCACCATTCACGAGTTGCGCGGGATGTGCGGCGGAGCAATAATTGCGCACCGCACATTGGCGATCTAATACAACATTTCACACTTCAATCACGATTGGAGATATGTATGTATCTATAGTAAGAAAAACATTTGTTTTGAAAATCTATATTGCTATTGAGCTCGCAGGGAAACCCAAGTCTCAGCAAAAACTTCTACAGTAACAGAATTACACTACGCTAGCACTTACGAGCAGAAACTAAAAAGCTTCCAACCCTTTTTGGCAATTTCCATGCAAGGACCCCAGGCGCGAACGATCAACCAACGGGTTGAGCAGACATTTCATCACCAGGGGGCCGCGACTTGAGGAGTTGCGAAGAGAATCGGCGCGTAGTAGAAGTTCAGAACGTTCAGAGAAACTGACTCTCTTGAAAATGGGGAGAAGAAAACCGTTCGGGGTAACCGCGAACACGAAGTCTTGCGAAAAATAAGGCGCAGGAGTTGAAAACATCTTCGCGCGAGGAGGATTGCAGAAGGAATCTTCTCAGTTCGCTACGAATGAAGCTCACTTTAGTGCTCCTGGTATGGTACGAGTTGAACGGTAAACAGAGATATCGGTTCATCGGCTTCTGGAAGAGCTTGCAATCCAGGATACCCTTTTCTTGAAACGTTTACCCGTAAAGAAAGTAACGTCCAGAAAGTCCATGGAATGAACTGAAATGTTCCAGGTCAGTTTAATGGATGGATGGAGATGGTCAAACTTGGACTTAAAGCTGTCAAAGCGGCCCCGTCGCCGCCTCTCACCCTACGCGGCCCCGTCGCTGCCCCTACGCGGCCTCGTCGCCGCCCCTCCGCGGCCCCGTTGCCGCCCTTAGCGGCCTCGTCGCCGCCCGTAGCGGCCCCGTCTTCACCTCTCACCCTACGCGGCCCCGTCGCCGCCCCTACGCGGCCCCGTCGCCGCCCCTAGCGGCCATGTCGCCACCCCTATCGGCCCCGTCGCCGCCTCTCACCCTACGCGGCCCCGTCGCCGCCCATACGCGGCCCCGTCGCCGCCCCTAGCGGCCCCGTCGCCGCCCCCTAGCGGCCCCGTCGTCGCCTCTCACTCTAAGCGGCCCCATCGCCGCCCCTAAGCGGCCCCGTTGCCGACCCTAAGCGGCCCCGTTGCCGACCCTAAGCGGCCCCGTTGCCGCCCCTACGCGGCCCTGTCGCCGCCTCTAAGCGGCCCTGTCGCCGCCACAACATGTCCCCGTCGCCGCTCCCCTCTCTTAGCGGCCCAGACGCCGCCCCTAACGGCCCCAACGCCGCCCCTATCGAGCAGCCCAGCAGCAGAGCCGCCGAGCCGCCTAACAACTGAGCAGCCGATCCGCCGAGCCGCCAAGCCGCGCAGCAGCCAAGCCGCTGAGCCGCCCAGCAGCCAAGCCGCCGAGCAGCCGAGCCGCCGAGCAGCCGAGCCGGCGAGCCGCCCAGAAGCCGAGCCGCCGAGCCGCCCAGCAGCCGAGCCTCCCAGCAGCCGAGCCTCCCAGCAGCCGAGCCGCCCAGCAGCTGAGCCGCCCAGCCGCCGAGCCGCCCAGCAGTCGAGCCGCCCAGCAGTCGAGCCGCCCTGCCGTCGAGCCGCTCCTCGTCCTACCGGCGCGCCCCTGCCCTACTTACTCCGACTCGTGAGCTCACTCCTTGCTAGGCCACTGAAGTCATGGCTACCCCCAGTGTTCTTACCTTTGATACTGAGGGTCGTGCTGTTGACTGAGGTCTGGGTCGATGACCTCCAACTGTTCCTCCAGTGCGATAGGGCATACGGCCTCTCCCTGCTCGACCTCACCTTTGGTGCCTCCCCTGCCCCGCCTACCACTGCTGACAGCACTGTTCGCTCACAGTGGGCGACACACGATGCTGCTGCCCGTCTTGCTGTGTGCCGCCACTTACCGACCACCAAGCGTGCGCACTTTAGCCAGTACAAGAGTGCTCAGACTTTGTACGACGCTGTAGTTGCACGCTACTCTTCCCCTGCCACTGCTGTACTGAGCCGCCTAATGCTACCGTACCTCTTCCCTGACCTTGCTGGCTTTCCCACAGTCGCTGACCTCATTACGCACCTCCGCACTAGTGACACTCGCTACCGCGCTGCGCTTCCCACTGAGTTCTGCGCCAAGACCCCCCCCCCCCCCCATGTACATCACCCTCTACTACATAGTCACCCGCCTTCCTGACCCTCTTCGCTTAGGCAGGGACCACTTCCTCTCAGTTTTCCCGACCACACTCACCGTTGACCTCCTCGAGGAGCGCCTCCTAGCAGCAGAGAAGAGCATAGTCGATGTAGGAGCCTCTCATGGTGACCCTCGCACCCCCGTCTTTGAGGGGTGTTCCCCCTCCCCCCTCTTGCCCTCTGTTGCTTCTGCTGCTGCTGCCGACCTCGTTGGTTTCTACGGGGTCGGCGCTGCGTCAGCCCCTAGCGGGAGACGCCGCAACGGCAAGGGCAAGGGGGGCAAGGGAGCAGGAGGGGATGGCGGGGGCGGTGGTGGTGGTGGTGGTGGTGGTGGTGGCAGTGGAGGGGGTGGGGGTGGTGGTGGGAGTGGTGGCGGGGGTGGCAGCGGCGGTGGCAGTAGTGGAGGCGGAGGAGGCGGTGGTGGTGGCGGAGGGAGCGGAGGCGGCGGAGGTGGCGGAGGTGGTGGAGGTGGCGGAGGCGGCGGAGGCGGCGGCGGCGGCGGCGGTGGTGCTGGTCGTGGATCTGCACAGAGGAGTGGGTCCGGTGGTGGTCCGCGCCAGCAGCAGCAGCGCGGTCGTGAGACCCTGTCCCCTCAGCAGCTTCGCGAGTGGTACGCTGCGCGTCAGCGCTGTGGGGGTACTGGTCCCTGCACTTACGTCCTCCGTACCGGCGACCGCGCTGGTGAGCAGCGCGGGGGCCCGCACTCCACCCAGCGCTACTTCGGCCGACTGACGGACGCGTGGCGTCACCAGTTCCCTTAGGCGTCAGAGATCCCTCACTGGGGAGATCTGTCTAGGGCGGGGGTTGCCATCTTTGATCTTGACTATGATGCTATCCTTGCTGCCATGTATGTTGTGACTGCTAGTGTTGAGGGTGACTGTTATCTGTGTGTACCGCCTGACCCGGGCATTGAGGCTACTGCTCTAGGTGCTGGTGAGGATGCTGCTCTAGGTGCTAGTGCGTCTGCTGCCCCAGGTGCTAGTGCATCTGCTGCCCCAGGTGCTGGTGAGTCTGCTCTCTTAGGTACTACGTCGGCATAGGCCTTATACACCTTCACCCTTGACTCGGGTGCGTCCCGCTCCTTCTTTCAAGACCGCACCACGCTTACGCCGCTTAGTCGGCCGGTTGCAGTCTCCCTGGCGGACCCCTCTGGGGGTCCTGTCCTTGCTAGCTTCTCCACTGCCTTACCGTGCCCGGCAACCCCCTCTGGCACCTTGTCAGGTCTCTACCTCCCCTCGTTCTCTACGAACTTGGCGAGTGGAGCGGATCTACAGGATAGGGGGGTTGACCAGTTCACTTCTATGAGTCAGCGGGTGACCCAATGCACGTGTGCTCGGACAGGCCGACACTTGGCCACGTTCACCCGTCGGCCGGGGTCGAGCCTGTACACCCTCACTACTGAGTCTCCTCCGGCTGCTGAGTCTGGTCAGGTAGCTGCGTCGACTCAAATGTTTGCTGCAGCGTCCAGGTCTAGTCCTGAGTCTGCTCCCTACTCGTATCGTCTCCTGTCTCACCAAACTCTCCTTTGGCACCACCGCCTTGGTCACCCCTCCCTCCCTCGTCTCCGAGGCATGGCCTCCCGTGTCCTTGTCTCTGGTCTCCCCCGGTCTCTCCCTCCCCTACCTCCGGGGCCTGCCCCTACCTGTGTCCCCTGTGTCGAGGGGCGACAGCGCGCCGCCCCTCACTTCTCCGAGTTTCCTTCGTCAGAGGCTCCGTTGGAGACTCTTCACATGGACGTGTGGGGCCCCGCCTGCGTCCGTGGCCAGGGTCACGAGCGTTACTTCCTGTTGGTGGTTGACGACTACTCATGTTACACCACGGTCTTCCCCTTGCGTAGCAAGGGCGACGTCACTGAGGTGTTGATCGACTGGATCCGCGCAGCTCGTCTCCAGCTCAGAGAGAGTTTCGGCTCGGACTTTCCTGTTCTGCGTCTGCACTCGGACAGAGGCGGGGAGTTCTCCTCTGCCCGTCTGGGAGCCTTCTGTCGAGCACAGGGCATCCGCTAGACCTTCACGCTTCCGGCCTCTCCACAACAAAATGGGATTGCTGAGCGCCGCATAGGCATGGTCATGGACGTCGCTCGTACGTCCATGATGCATGCAGCTGCCCCCCATTTTCTGTGGCCGTTTGCGGTTCATTACGCTGCGCATCGGCTCAACCATCAGCCCGGGGTCTCCTTGCCAGAGACCTCCCTCACCTTGCGGTGGATGGGGAAGGTTGGCGATGCGTCTGCGTTTCGGGTCTGGGGATCTCGGGCGTTTGTTCGCGACTTATCTGCGGACAAGCTGTCCCCCCGTGCTGTCCCTTGCGTCTTCCTTAGCTTCCCCCATGACCCGCCTGGTTGGCAGTTTTACCACCCCACCTCGCGCCGTGTTCTGTCCTCC